AGTAGTCAGCCCATCTTTTCAGTTATCTTAGCGACTACATTTGCATACCTGAGCTCTAACTAACTGTCTTAATGTCTACCTGTTTTTGTGTCATAATCTCCTGTTGTTATATGCCGATTAATCCATTCTTTCTCTTTTTGATAATCATTGTAAAACTCTTTTTAAAAAATGATTTATTTATTTATGCATATAAGAACTGGGGTACAGGCCAGAGGTGCGGGGGGTGAGAGGTTTCACCAGAGACAGAGCAGGGAACAGAACAGGCAGATTGACTTAAATCCACTGCTGAGGGGAGCAGCGGGTTAGACAGGAGAGGTCTGCTGCGCCCTGTGGGTCAGCTCCCTGGCTGGGGATCAAACTCGTGCTACAGAGGCTGCGGGTAGCTTCACTGTGCTGTGCTTAACCCCCTGCCCCACCAGGGAGGCCCCTGTAAAACTCTTTTAAGATTGCATTGATGTCCTGTTTCCTCAGAGGTAAATTCTTCCACTTGGGGAGTTTGTGGGACCATCAAGAAGTGGTTGTGAATTCATTATCTGCTCAGGATATTTCTCCCTGGTCAGAGTCTTTTGAGAGTGTGTGCTTTTACCTCATTTAGGGCAGCGATACCTTTGTCATCAGACACCTCATTTTTGGTCTGCAGTTCACATTTTCCTGTCATTTCTAAGTGTTTGGGGGAGTAAGGGGCGGTCTCAGTGTATAGCTGGTCCACCATCTTGAATGGAAGTTCAGTGTCATCATCTGCAAATTGATCGGGTTGTGTTGGGCGGTCTCAGGCTTCTCGGAGATATTTTCAACACAGATACCCACAGGGTTCCTGGCAGTAGACGTCTACTGGGAGGGGGTCCTAACACTGACATCACCAAAATAAAAACGGGCTCGTGGATTACTTACTGTCACTTAGCTCCTAAGACACCTGATCCCATTCATTCTTGACAATCTCATTTTCTGGATGAGGCAAAAGAGGTGCCCCAGACACATTTAGCTGGAAGGGAGATTTGAACCCAGTTAAAGCAGGCCGCAGCCCCAGCCCCATCCGCCCGCTGCATCACGCTGGCTGCGTGGCTGCTCGTCCCAGCCCTGCCCCTTGTTGGCGGTGCTGTTTCTGTGTCCTTTTTCCCTGTGGACACTGACCACCCTTCAGAGGTGCTAAAAGAGCTGAAAACTGTGTCCTCGGTACAAGTGGGGACACCTGGGAAGGTTTGATTTGGTGTGGGCTCTGGCTCTGTCACACCTGGCATCTGACTGTGCTGCCTCAGGCAGGTGACTTGACCCCTCAGAACTTCCATTTCCTGTCTGTGAAATGGGGATAATAGTCACATTTTCCTCTCTGAGTGGTGGCGAGTGCAGAGGAGATCCTGCCTGTGCCTCAGCACAGTAGTTGCTCAATAAACACCGCTGCGTCCCTTGGGCCGAGCAGAGTGCAGTGAAGGTGGGGGTGTGAGCCCTGATCTGTCAAATCCCGAAAGTCTTTAAGGGGGATGTGGGAGGAGAGGTTTTTCATGGACACACAGGAGTCACGGGGAGAGCTCCGGTGAGGTGGATTTCAGCCCCACCCAGGAAACTTGTGGCCTTGACAGTGCATGGACTCCCCATCACTCAAGGGAACCCAGCAGGACTTCGACTGCCGCTGGCTAGAAAGACTGTGAAGGCAGACAGGACTGCAGCTGGCCTGGGCCATCTCTGAGGGACCCCCCTTTCCTGTTTGCCCCCCCCCCGGCCTGTTCACAGGGAGCACCCCCATCTCTTCACTCTCCACCAGCCCGTCTTCTGTGACCACAGGAAGGCCCAGCCCAGCGCTGGCTGTGTCTTCTCTAAATAAACTCGGGCAGCTGAGCTATCTGCTGCCCCATCTCCTCTGGGTTCCTGTGGAGGGGTGGGGGGCGGTGGTTAGGGGGAGCTCGGGCCAGGCCGCAGAGCAGAGGGACTCTTACTGGCTGGTGTGAGCGCCCCCGTCCCTTCTCCTCCTGCTGCCAGCTGATGCCTGGCCTCCCTCCTGGGGCCTGTGGCTCTGACTTCTCGCAGGTGCCTCCATCCAGTCCCGCCGGCCCCTGAGTTGGAAGGCCTGATGCATTTGCATGCCTCCCAGACCTGGCCCCCAGAGTCAGGGTGATGCCTTCCAGAAGCTTCCCAGGGCCCCGGTGTGCACCTTTGACCCCCAAGTAGGTGCAGTCAATTCTGGGCTCCATTCACATCCTGGAAGTTGGGATGTGGTGAGGGCCCCGGCGCGGGCCAGGGGGCGTCGGGAGAGTAATGTGGCTGCAGGGACAGGACCCCGAGGGTCTGTCTGGGCTTGTCCGCCTGGGGCTGAGGTATCCTGGGCGGTGAAAGGCCCAGGCCAGCCCTTTGGGAGGGCAGGGGGCCCATTCGGGCTGATCGCGCCCCCCCCCCCCGTCCCCACCTTTTGAACATGACTTCACCTGCTCACTCATTCATTCACTTGCGTTTCACTCATTTCATTTATTCAAACATCCGTGCATTCGTCGGTTCATTCCGAAAATCTCTCACGCAGTGTTGTTCTTCCTCCTTTATTCCCTGACCCGGGCTGGAGATGGGGGTGAACGGAGCAGCACGTGAGCCCTGTTTTTCGGAGACTAGGACACGCCTGCACGAGCACCGGGGGAGGGCTTCCAGCTGAGAGCAAGCAGGGTTTTAACAAGGCTCCTCTGGGGAAATGGTGGATTTGGGGGTACCGGGTTAGAGGCCAGTGGGGCTCAGGTGGGCTATGAGACGTCTGCTCTGGGGCCAGAAACGTGGAGAGGAGGGGAAAGGTGGGTGCAGTGCGCGGGGGGCTGGGGCTGGGCGTGGAGGGGGGCGCCAGGACTGTCGCCGGCGGCCGTGGGGTCAGAGTTGGTGGCGACGCTTTGCTCTGGGCACCGCTGAGGCCCGCTGGCCGGTGGCCTCCTGGGTCTCAGTTTCCTTTGGGGAGAGCGGGGAGATGCTCCTGACCAGGCGGCAGCCTCAGGGGTCTGCGGGGGCCTGGGTGACGGGCAGGTGGGCCCGTGGAGGGAGACACAGATGAGGGAGGGGATTTGTGGGGAGGCGCCCGGAGGGCTGAGGGGCGCGTGGCGCGGAGGCCGCATGCCTGGGCTCAGCACGAAGATGGGGGCTCAGTCAAGACACAACATTATTATTATTCATTTTTTAATTGTGGTAAAATACGCGCAGCGTAGCACTGACCACCTGAACCGCTTCTGCATGTACAGCTCAGCGTGGCAGGAGGCGGGGAAATTTCCCCACCCCTCGGGCTCTTCCTGGCCCGGGTGAGTAATCGAATGACATCAGGCGCTTCTAGATGTAGATTCCAGGGCCAGAGAGAACACGGGCCGTCGGTCCTGAGCTAAGGCGTGGGTGATGGAGAAAGAAGGGGTCTCAGGAGACAGGGAGAGGGTGGTTTACGAGGCCCAGGCCGGGTGTTCCTGAAGTGGGATGTGCTCCCCGCTGCGTGGACACGTTGTTCAGACAGAGGTGATTTCTGGTAATAACCCCAATACCGGGTAACGCCCTCGGCCCTCCTGCTTCCAGGTAGTTCAGGGAGTGGTGAAGGTTTCTTGTCTGACTTCAACTTGAAATAATCTGCCAGAGTGACGCATCTTGGGGAGCCCTGTGCCGAACGTCTTGGGGAGCCCTGTCCTGAGTGTCTTGGGGAGGCTTATGAAAAAGTGACACCCAAGCATCACACGGTTGTGTGACCGTCGCCGCTGGTCGTCACCATAACTCTCTTCACCTTGTAAAACTGAAACTCTGTCCCCATCAAAGACTAACCACCCCCCCACCCCACCCCCCACCGTCCCAGCTCCTGCCGTCTGCTCTGTGTCTCTCCGGCTCTGGTCGCCGGCCTGCGTCCCGTGGTGCTCTCGTGACGAGCTCACGTCACCCAGCGGCTGTCGCGCTGGCTCCCGTCTTCTCAAGGATGAACAACCCCATGTGCACGTGGGGGCCGATCGCCCTCCACCAGCGGACACGCCAGTCGCGTCCCCTCCCGGCTGTCGTGACCCGTCTGCTGTGGACACGGAGACGGGTTACTGTGCCGATGTCTTGCTGACACCCCACTGTCTGTTCCCGTGGGTCTCTGCCCAGAAGTGGACTCTCCGGCTCCGGGGCTTGTGAATGTTCCCTCCGACCCTGCGGGCCGCCCTCTCCCTTGGGGTGGTGTCTGGCGATGCCCCCGATTTAAATACTTTCATGCAGGCCCATCGTCTGTTTTTGCTTCTGTTTTCTGTAGGTGACTCTTCCAGCACGTGAAGGGGGAGTGGGTGGGCGCGGGAGTGGGCAGGAGATGGACCTGCGGCTGGACCCTTGGAGGGGCGGGCACGGATGCTTGCGTGGCCGGCGGGCAGCGAGGCCGGAGCACGCTGCACGCAGCGCCAGGAGCTGGCTGGGGGGGTGGGCCGAGGGTGGGCAGGCGGGCAGGTGGGTGAGTAGGTGGGCGAGCGGAGGCGCTGATAAAAGTCTGGCTGGCCGGGTAGGGACAAAACTCCTGTCACTGGTCATGGAGACCTGGGGGACCAGGGGAACCTGGGGAACCATGGTGCGCTTGAGCCGCCGCTTCCTTTCTGGCCCCGGCTGGGCTGGGGTAGCTCCATGGACGCACCTTCTCTCCTCCTAGGCGCACCTTCCTACGGCGCTCTCTGGGCTCCAAGAATCTTATCCCGGAGCTCAGACCGAACTGAGCCCGCGGCCTGCCTGCTGACCTTCTCAGCGGTAAGAACGCACTGGGAAGGAGCCTGGGTCCTCCTGGGGAGGGTCCAGCCGGCAGGCCAAGAACGTCTGAGCCCCTCCCGGCCAGTGGCCTCTCTCTGGGCGCCTCTTCTCCACCGGCCATCAAACCCCTCTCCGGCTCACCATCCTCTGCCTCCGCCTGGTCTCCAGCTCCGGCGTCCCCACCGGGCACCCCTCCCCTGCTGGCGGCGGTGGGGGCCCAGGATGAGTCAGAGGCCCTGTCAACCCCCGGCCGGCCTCCAGCTCAAGCTGTCTTTCCTCTCCCCAGGCGCCCCGCAGCCATGGACGTGGACCTCTTGGGCCTGCCAGACGTACCTCTGGGTCGTGGCAAGACCCTGCGGGGCCCGCGGGGCCGGGGCCCGACGGTGCGTCGGCAGCGGGAGTTCATGCCCGAGGAGAAGAAGGACACGGTTTACTGGGAGAAGCGCAGGAAGAACAACGAGGCGGCCAAGAGGTCCCGGGAGAAGCGGCGGCTGAACGACGCGGCGCTGGAGGGCAGGCTGGCGGCGCTGCTGGAGGAGAACGCGCTGCTCAGGGCCGAGCTGCGCTCGCTCAAGCTCCGCTTCGGCCTCCTGCCGCCCGTGGGGGGGCCCCGGACGCTGCCCCTGCAGGCCCTGCTGTGGGAGGCCCCCTGGGCCGGAGACCCCCGCGCGAGGCCTGACCCGCTCTCGGCTCTGCCCGACCCCGCCGGCTGCCTTTTGAGACCATGTTCCCTGGACGCCGGGGTTCCCGGGTGCCGGGGCTGCCTGGTGGCGCACCGGTGGGCTGGCCTGGCCACCTCTCCCAGGTCGCCCCAGCACCCTGTACCGCTCACCCCCAAGAGAATGGACGTGGCCTTGCAGGCTGCCCTCCCGGGCACCTTCTTCAGCTGTCACCTCCTGGATGGGCACGGCGGCCCTGGACACGAGCTCAGGCCCTGTTGGGGCTTGTGGTCCCCCATGGCCGTGGGGTGTCGGGCCTCAGGCCCCTCGGATGTGCTGCTGACGCCCACTACTGAGCCCATGGTGTTGCCGTCCAGGGCGGCCTGCTCCACCCCAGGGACTGACCCGGAGGACATGGTCCAGCCCTCTCTGCCCCACAAACTGCGCATTAAGTCTCGAGCCTCGGCCAGGGCACCTCGGGGCTGGGAGGGCGACCGGGGCCCCCTCTGAGCCTCCCCTGGCAGGGGTGTGCTGGGGCCTGACCGCGGGTTTGTCTGGGGGCAGGTGGCTGAGCCTTGACGTGTCTTTCAGAACTAGGCAAGGCAGGTGGGCCTAGGGGAGGGCCCGGCTGGGAGCAGGTGTCCACTTCTCCGCGTCCGGGCCGGCACCTGGGAGAGGGGACAGGGCTGCCTCTGGCTCGTGCCATGGCTCTGTCCCCACTGGAGTCGGTGCTTGGGGTCGTCACTTTCCTTCCTTCCTTCCACCCACCCAGCCTCGTTTAATCGCTCGTTCCTGCGCTCATTTAGTCATCACTTATTCACTCATTTATTTATGATGCTCTTGTCCCTTCATCTGTCCTCTTGAGCTTTGGATCCTCCCTTAGTGACTCGTGTGCCCTCACCTTCCTGGCTTTGGGGTTCCTATTCTGGGGGTGGGCAGCATGACATATAAGGGTCATGCTGAAGGAGGAGGTGACCTCTCCGGATGTCTGAATCCTCATTTTGGGGGGTCCCTCTGGGGGTTTCCTTACCACCGCTTTGGGGATTAGATGTTCCCTGTCCAGATGGTTTTCTCTGTCTCGGGTCAGAGCCTTGAGTCCCCAGAACATGTCAGCGATATGGGGGTGGTGCCACGTTCCCTCCCCGGCTGCTCGCCATCTCTGAGGCCCCATCAGCCCCAGACATACTCACAAGTGGATGGAAAAAAGGATGACTCTGCAGAGAGGGCCCCCCAGGGACCCTGGGGTCCCAGATCCCACCAAAGCCCCCTCCCTCTTCACTTGCCCACCCAGGCCCCTCTTTTTATTTTTTAATTTCAGAGCTTTATTTAGACTTGGGATAAAAGACCCCCATTCCAATCACAGGGAGTTACGGGTGGCCCCTTGGGGCAGTGCAGTCTTGGGGCACTAGATACCCAGGCTGGCTGGTCCCCTCCCCACACCTGGAGGCTGGGCTCGTTCTCCACCACCTGGCTTTACCGTGGTCACAAGTGTGTCCTGGCCCAGCGCCTCCTGGCAACACAGGAGCCTTGTACGTCGCTGCCTGGCTCGCTTGCTCTGGTCCTGGGCCATGCTCAGCCAGCAGGAGGAGCAGGGAACAAAGCCCCAGCCAGACCTCTCCTCTGCTGGTTGCAGCAGCCATGGGGGCTTGGCTGGCCTCACCCCTCTGAGGACCTGTGCCACTACCCACCACAGTGCCATGCCTGCCCCCTCACTTTGGACTTGGTCACATACCAAGTCCTGGGGAAGCAGAAAGGAGGTCTGCATGGAGGAGGTGACTCTAGCCTATCCTGCTCCAGTCAGTGGCCACAGGCTTGAGGGGGTACCCTGGGGATGAGGAGGAGCCAACCCCAACACAAAGATGCCACCAGCCGCAGCTGACCCTGCACAGGGGCCCTTTAATGCAGCCCTGGCGCCGACTGGAGGAATTTTAAAAACTGTGAAGGGAGAGGGAAGGAGGAAGTGGGGGCGGCTGCATACATCCCGCTGCTGGGAGGTGGGGGTGGCTTGGTGCTTCCTCTCCGTGATGCCACGATGGTGTGTCCACGGCGTCAGAGGTGTCCCAGCTCACTTGTGCCCCGTGGGCGTGGCTGGGGTGCTAGCCACCCGAGGGTCACTCAGCCCTCTTAACCTTCCAGTGCTGGTTGGAAAAACTCACGTCTGCCTAAAGCAGAATGTCCACATCAGGAGGGACCCTGAGCCTCTGCTGCTGAGTGGCCCTGCGGTCTGAAGTTGGATGCCTCTGGGGTGGAAAACTCACTTCAAAACCCCATCACCGCTTCTTTCTAGAGCGAGACGCCACTTTTGTAAACTTCCATCACTGATCCTGTGCTTTCCACAGGACACCAGTCAGACCACCCACCAGCCTCCCTCCCTCTGCTCGGAGGTGGCTGATGTGGTGGAAGGAACCTCTTGTTCCTCTTCTCTGAGTAGAGATCGCCACACCTACCTCAGATGGTTTGAAAAGATTAAATCTCCTTGATACTGTGCAGAGCTCTTCATCTTTAACAGGTGCTCACCAAATGTTAATTCCTTTATAGAAAAGTCTCACGTTCCCAGTCCCAGAGTAGTGCTGTCCTCTCTTTCTTCAAGACCCTTTCCTGTTGCCCTGGCCTGGCTCTTATTGTTTGTTGTTAATGCTATTAATATATGAAGGCTCCTGGAACTGTGAATCATTTCTTCCTCATCAAATACATGTTTTTCCCCAACAAATACTTTTGAGCTCCCACTGTGTGTCAAGCAGGAGCCGGGGAAACGTGCTCCAGACTGAGGGGTCTGCAAGAGGGAACTTGCACAGATGTTCAGGACATTCACCCAAGAGATGTCGGTTAATCTCCTGTGCCGGACTCTGAGAGCCCATGGGCTGCTGGAGCCTTCCAGGTGGCTGCTTGGGAGCTGCCGCTGTAAGAACTCGAGCACCACTTCCCAGCCTGGGGTATCCACGGGCCCCCTGGCTTATGTCCGTCACACTCGTGATTAACGTGGGCACTGAATTTAGCACATTGTGCAGCTACACATTTGTTTCTTTTTCCACCCATCCTTCAAGGCCAGTGCCTCCTTTTGGGCTATGAATGCGTGAAATTCCTTTCCTGTTTTAGGGGTGTCTGGTCTACGTATAATGTACAATAAACACTGAATTTCTACCTGCTTGATTGGGGATTGCTGGGCAGAGATGAAAATTGAAGATGCTGATGAGGCCAATTTCTCTGTATTGTCTTCAAGGATTCACAAGCGCACCCTGGCAGAACCCTGTGCTCTCTAAACCCTTAATATTTGTTTTTGCTTTTTTTGAACCCTTAATATTTGAATTGTGGTCCACAGACCAGCTGCACCAGCATTGCCTGGGAGCTTGATAGAAATGCAGGCCCTCAGGCCCCTTGCAGAACTGCTTGAAGCAGAACCTCAACTTTAATGAGATCTCTCAGAGGTCCATATGCACATTAATGTTTGAGGAGTCCTGATCCAGGCCCCTGTATGGGACCAGAGAGTACAGGTTTTTGGCTTTATGGGAGAGATGGCTCTGTTGTGGTGATGTAAAAGTAGCCACAGACAACATGTGAACAAGTCCCCATAGTTGTGTTTCAATAAACCTTTATTTCCTGAAACAGGTGTGGCCAGATTCGCCTTGGGAGTCTGTTGGTGCTATGTTTCCAGGTGTGGAATGGCAGATCCTTGGGGAGCCGGTCTTCAAACCTGATATTGCCAAAGTGTTCTGCAGAACAATATTTCCAGTTTATACCCATGTACTTGTAAAGGAAGTTTATGTTCTTCCAGCGCTTTGGTTTGGTTCTTTTTTTTTTTGGCCAATCTGATGGGTGCAAAATGGTTTTTTTTTTTTTTTGCAAAATGGTTTTAATATACAGTCTTTCATCGAGCCTTTTTTCCAAAATCTTGGATTTCCTCTTCTATGAATTTCCTGTTCTGTCTGTGTATTTACCTTTTTCTCATTGATTTCGTAGAGCTCTTTATTTATTCTGCATAGTCTTGATCATGTATGAACACCACAGACTTCTCATCTGACTTGTCTTTTCATGTTTTCCTGATGGGTTTTGTTGTATAAAAGTTGGAAAATCAGGGGCCTCCCCTGGTGGCGCAGCGGTTGAGCGCTGGGCTGTGAAGCTGTCCGCAGGCTCTGCAGCCGGTTTGATCCCTCCCCAGCTGCCGGCAAGGGTCCCACATGGTGTGCAGAGCTCTCCTGCCATGCCCGCTGCTCCCCTCAGCAGTGCACTTCGTCAGTCTGCCTGTTCTGCTCTCCCCTCTGGCTCTGGTGAATTCTCTCACCCTCCCGCGCTTCTGACTGTACCCAGTGCTTGTATAAATAAATAAATAGATCTTTAAAAAAATACTTGAAAAAAAGGTGCAGATCAACACGTAAATATTATTTTTAAAAAAGTTAGAAAATCAGATGTAGCCATGTTTATCAATCTTTTATGATTTGTACATTTTTGTCTGGTTTAGGAAACTTTCCATGTCTCAAGGTCACAAAGACAGTCTCCTAAATATTCCTCTAGATGTCTTCAGGTTTTGTTTTTCATATTTAGTTATTTTAGCTCATCTCTTTCTTTCCCTCTGTTGTATGAAATGCTATTACTCAAATTTCCTTGATCAAAAAAATGCTTGTTTAATTTGAAGCTCCTGAATCAGACTTTCCAGGAGCTAGGCCTTGGAATCTGTAGAATCACTAGCAGCCAGGTGATTCTTATAATCAGGCCAGTGTGGGGAAAGCTGGCTTAGTAGTTAGCAGGTGGGTTTGAGAACTGGGCAGGACCAGCATCTACTCCTGGCTGGCTGATTTCCTTCATATCATTGAGTCTCCCCTGCTTGTCTGTAAGTAGGGGTTCCAAACGTACTCACCCCACAGAAATGTCTTGTGAAAATTAAGTGAGAAGTATATAAATGACTTGGCACAGCACCTGTTCCTGGGAACTGGATTGCTTTATCCTCATGGAGAATGTAACCAATCCTATTTTCCTTTTTTGCTTTGGCCACCAAGGAATTCAGGGCTAAACTTAATGTCAATAATAATAATAATAGTAATAATAATTCATTTTAAAGTTAATTTATTCACTTAACTAATATTTATTGATGATCTCTTATGTCCCAGGCACTGGCGAAAGAGCAGTGAACAAAACAGATGTGGCTCCTGCCTTGGTTGTGCTGGTGGCCAATTGGGGGAAATAAATTTTTAAAAATGAACAAGAAAAGAGCCTCCCTGGTGGCGCAGGTGGTTGAGCGCAGTGCTGTGAAGCTGTCCGCAGCCTCTGCAGCATGGATTTGATCCCGGCTGGCAGGGGAGATGCCCACATGGCGCTGCAGACCTCTCCTGTCTCGCCCGCTGCTCCCCTCAGCAGTGTATTTCAGTCAATCTGCCTGTTCTGTTCCCCACTCTGTCTCTGGTGAATCCTCTCAACCCCCAACACGTCTGGCCTGTACCCGGGTTCTTGTAAGCATGAATAAATAAGTCTTTTTAAAAAAATGAACAAGAAAAATATATGGCAGGGCCTGTGTCATG